CCATTTTTTAAATAATATAATTCGTATTTTTAATGAATTTTATGGTCTTTTTGGAATGTGGATGCAATTGTAAGACTTTTTTACTCTTCGCATTTTTGCTATAAACTTACTTGTTTAGGAGCTACATGATGTAAAATCTACACCGGAAGTCATTTTTCCATAGGCTGTAACTCCTAAACGAGTGGGTTTATCGGAAAAATGTCAAGAATAAAAAAGTTTTTAAATTGCCTATTCTATCCGAAAACATGATAAAATATAGGGTGTTCCATAAGAAATTTCAAATTTGGCCGCCTTTTCGGAAAATGGTGGCTGAATTTCAAAAAACTAAAATCATATTTTTAACTGCCACAAAAATAAAGCAATGTCCTCCATTTTAAGTTTTCTCTAATTCTTACCGTTTCTGATATCCCAATGGTGGCCTCCTTGAGTTGATCACCCTGAATAGCCTATATTTATTTATTTATTTATATGTTTTTCCCGGGGGGAACCCCAGGACCCCCTCCTTTTTTGGGGGTATTTCATACCCCCCAGGCCCCCGGTGACCCCCCAAAAAATATGTCTAGGACCGCCCTTGTCTTCTTTACCTATAAAACACATGGGATACAGCCTTTTTTCACTGATCACGTAATGCGTGATTTTCTATAAAGTCTTGGAAAAATAAAAGGTAAAATAGATAGAATACAGGTGTACTGGGTATGTGGTTTACACACAAATATTCATCAAACTGTGTGATAGTTTGTTATAGCAATGAACAATTTGAGAGTATCGTATTGTTTAAGTCGATGGAAAATCTCTGTTGATCCTGTTTTACAAGCAAACCAAAAAGATACAGTAGTCACCACTCTATGCGACATATTCCAGCCAGAAAATTGTAATCGTATGATTCTATAAGCATTGGTAGGATTGCAAAGTACTACACAAACATTATTTCAATGGTAATAACAGTCACAATTTCCGCTGACTTTAAAAGAGTCAACTAAACTATTATACTCCATCGGCACTCCCGTTTTGCTACCACTGTAATGGAGACACAAGTAAATGGAACAACTAATGGAAATTCTCACGATGTACATATAACAAATCGTTCGATATAAGCATTGAGTATGTGGACACGTCAGTACATACGTGTATACCCAATGATATAAGCAACGGTTCTTGCAATTTATTGCTTATTGTTTTTTAGAGTTGTTTTCGGACTTACTCTTTTTTCGGACTTACTCACACTCGTATAAGGTTTTCCACGTTTGTCATTGATAATGTAGCCATGTTGCTTTGAAATGGCGGCCATACAAAAATGTATGCATTTTAAGCCAAGTATGAATGGAGATGAGTGTGGGATGAGTGGAGCGATCTTGTTGTCCTGTTTGTGACTAAGGCCGACATAATCCTTAGACACAGCTGTTAAATAGTGCATACAGTCAATTAATAGCAGCAGAGGTCAAGTTTGGTATAAAATTAAAGGTTTTATTCATAAAAATACATTGCCGCAAACCCAAACTCAAACGATGATGATGATAATAACGTTAATGATGTCGCTAAAACGTATAGTTTGAAATTTAACAGCTGAAAATAAGTGAAATAGAAAAGGTTTTGGTTAAATCCATCAAATTGTAATCGGACACTAGTAATTACTAGTGCACTTGTTGCTACCTCCCCCCTTCGGTTTCATGTATTCCTCTCAATCAGTTCAAACCTAGGAGGATTAAACATTAATGTTAATTAATGTTAAATCCTCCTAGATTCAAACCTGAAACACCCAGATCGAAACTCGCCTGTCGTTATTTTACCATCGCCTTTTTTTAAATATATTTTTCAAAAAAGAAATATTTTTATTGATTTACTTTGGATTTTAAAAATGTTAACGTTTTATTTTGTTAAAGATTTTTGGTGATACGTAAATATTGTGGTGTAGTAAAGTATATTATATTGTAGTTAAGTGTTAAATTTTGAAATTTTAGGGTGAATCGAGATGAATCTTTGTTTATAACATGGGTCTCTCCTACCTTAACATACATACCAAGTTTCATAAACATCGGTTGGAAAAGTGCAAAGATAAATATTTGTATGTAAAAAATACAAAATGGTGGATATCTGGTTAACGAAATGATTTTGGAAAAAATGTTATCCTTGATTTTCTGTTTATTTTGACCCAAGGAATTACTAGGTAAAGTATCTCCCCGCTTATTTTAACACCCTGTTTATGATGTATATAAGTGAAAAATGTAAGCTGGTAATAAAGAAAGATGTTTTATAAATAATATGAATGTACTGGTGATCTGTATATTTATCTTTTTCTTGTCCTTAGAACTATAAATTAAAAGTCCACTCAGCAGTTGCATCGTACGATGTAGTTCTTTCCATGCGTTGCGAAATGCTAAATTTGCCGTCCTCTTCAACCCAAGTTATCTACTGAACCACTGATTGTAAAAAATTCAAAAAAAATATATTTTACGCATCACACTTTTGGCTACAACTTTGCCACAGACAAAAGCTCTCTAACCCAAAAACAAAAAAAAATCTCGCATGCTAACTTTTTCATGTTAGAAATCACGATTTAAAACTATTTCACCATACAAATCAATTTTTATTAATTAGATCGGTAAATAGTTTAAAGTTCCAACAAAATAGTCATCGAGTAGGACTAACCAAGAAGCTCTGTGCCAAATTTCAAAATTTTAGCACAACTTTAAGTACACCAAAACACGAAATTATTGAAGTCATGCGTCGAGAGGACTATCGTTGTTTTTAACAGATTATACTTTTGACCTTCCGGCACTGTTGACTCAGCGAAACTGAACTTATATTTTATCTTATTTCGTTATATTAAAACTGCTGTTGCATTAGGTCAAATTCCCAATAAGTCAATTGCTTTAACATAGACTACGTTTTTAGCCCGGACTGTACTATTTGACTTACTGGGATTTTTGATCTACAGACACTGCAAACATTGTAGTTTTTGACCTAGCGGCACATGTATAAATTATTTGACCTTCCGGGACTGTTGACTTTCTGCAACGCGTCCTCATCAACTCTCCAAATTCCTCACCATAAGACAACAGTTTATAATATATCATTTACGGTAACAGCATGTCGCCTTTGGAACTCACTACCACAGACAATATAATACTTTAATGGTTTATTCCATTGTCTGTGTCACTACCATTCACTATCAGGAGCATAGAATCCCGTTCCCGACTGACGGCGACGCTGAAGGCTTACTATCTCGATCGGATGACCGTGGCTTGGTGGGATGGCGTGCGTTAGGCCTAGGTATGGCAAAGAGTGAATGTGTGTGTGTATGCGTATATTAGGGACAAAGATTTATAACTTTAGTTTTTACTTATTATTTTGTTTATAGTTTTAAAAGTTTTATAAAAATGCATTGTTTAGTTTATATTTAGTACATAAGAGGTTAACTGTAAGAAAGGACCATGTGGTCCTAATGTTTGCCTCAATAAAAAAGTATTTTCATTCATTCATTCACAGCAACACAGCAGAAATTTAATCATTTTTAGCAGATTTTACTATAGGATGATAAGTCTACTGGCACAATCCAAAGTCAATATCCAAGCTATTTGCTCCCTTTTGTGGGTATGGATGGAAGTTTCACATTGTGAGCTTAAGAGGTTTCACGCCCAACTGAGGGTGAAAGACCTTACACAAATAAACATGACGACTTGAGTAGAGTTAGTATGGCACGACACGTGGTTTTCTCAACCCTCTCCACCCTTGACTTACTTCCCTACTCCCTCGATAGGAGTCAAATTTCACTTTTATTGCTACCAATCGTACGCAACAACGTCGCAGGAAATCGTAACATTTATTGGAAATTGATAACTAATCGAGGAGTTGGATTTATACTTTACTTTAATACTTTTAGAAGAAATGGCGACCATACAAAGTAGGTATAAGCCAAGAATGAATGGAGATAAGTGTAGGATGAGTGGCGCGATCTTGTAGTCTCGTTAGTGACTAAGGCCGACATATTCCTTAGACACAGCTGTTAATTATCCCAAACAGCTAATGGCAACTAAGGGACCTATCTAGTTTTAGGGGTGTTATATCTGTAGGGTGTATAACTAAGTTGATAAATTACTTTGGTTTATTTAAACAGTAAAATCTATAAATTCATAAAATATTCTTGGCCGTTTATGAACACTGCTTCATTGATTTGTCATCATTGTGAAGCTGAAGACAATTTTAAGGTGTGTTTTGTACGGAATACGTAGAATAGATTATTGTGTACTGAGTATTTCTTTGTTTTAACTACTGAACCGTCTAAACCATGTTAATATTATTAGTATAGGGTTCGGGGGCGGGGCAGTTACGTCATTTGTTTGTGTTTATGATCCATACAGCTTTCTGTTCTAACATTCCTATTTGGTGATATTACTACGACACACAATTTGTCATAACTAGATAGTTTTATTTTGTTATAACAGTTAGGCACGAGCCTGGGATTGTTTTTCACATTACTTCAGGCTAGACCTAGGGGTTGGGTTGCGGCATTATCACTTATATAAAATAGATGCAATACAGTAACAGCACTAAAGAAATAGTAATAGTAATGCCAGTAACAATACGCGCTCTAATATGCCGGATGGAACTGACCTTAAACTTTTTCCGCCGATCCAAAGGATGATAATAGTTTATTTCATCACTATGGCGTAAATTCTACTCCTTTCGACCCAAGCTCAAGTTTTAAGGTCGTGCAATGGTTGAAAAGGCACTATTTGCTTTTTGTGAAACTTAATCTCGGGTCGAAAGGAATTTCATTGAAAAGTATTAAAGAGTCACTTCACGCCCTAGTGATGAAATACAGTACTAAGTTTTACATATTTCGAAGTATGACTGTGTACAAATGTACATTGCGATACAATTTTCCAAAACATCTGTACATATGTTTTCCAAACAGAAAACATCAACACTAGGTTACTTAATATTCACGCGATTCATTGGCATCCAAAATTTCAGCCAAAACAACAAAAGGTAAACAACCAAAATTTCCCTCTCTTTATTGCCAAATTTAAGTAAAATATTTAACTGCGCGTATGTGAAGTATCTCCTCTAGTGATTTTATTTGGTTTTAAATTATACGTCATAGTGTTCTCTGGAAGTTTGAAGTATGTCAATGTTTTGGGACCCGATACCAGCCTATGTGCAGAGCGCTCCATGCCTTTTGAGGGTCAAATCTGACTTGGTCGCGATCCACAATGATCCTGCACCAGGTATTCACGTTGTGGCTGACGAGCAGGACATCACGTTAGTACACTGTCTGCTCGTAGGACCCGACAAGACACCTTACGAGGGTGGCTTCTTCTACTTCATCGTCAGGTTCCCACCGAACTACCCCATCGCACCTCCTAAGGTCAAGCTGATGACCACTGGCGGTTCAAAGGTCAGATTCAACCCTAACCTCTACAGGGACGGTAAAGTCTGCCTCAGCATCCTCGGCACATGGGAAGGTCCTGGGTGGAGTCCAGCCCAGAGTCTGACCAGCGTCCTCATCTCCATCCAGAGTCTGTTGAACGAGAAGCCTTATCACAACGAGCCCGGATACGAACACGGTCATTCTGATGAAGTTGAACAATACAACCAGCTGATACAACATGAGACTCTGAGAGTAGCAGTTGTGGGGATGTTGGACGACGATTACTCGATTAACCTGCCTCAGCCACTTCGACAAGTCATGGAGAACTACTTTGTCAGTAACTACGAGACTTACACCGCACTGATCGACAGCAGGATTCATCTTAACGGTAAAACATTGAATGATCCCTTTAGGAAAGAGTACCAAAAGCAGGCTGATTACGATAGAATTAAAAAACGGCTTCAATCTATTCATAGCAAGCTGGAGAGTAAGTACGCTGACAAGAAGATGGATTGTGATCTTGACTCAAGTTTTACATGTTCTTCAGAATCCGTTATGTGGTCAGGCAATTAGAAAATAGGGTGTTTTGTATCAAGCAAATGTTTCTTAATATGTAAAATGTCTTAACATAGTCTATTAGGGTGATTAAATTATTGTTACGTATATAGGCAGTTTTACTTTATTTATTCTTCACAGCTATGCAAATACATAAACCCTGTCATAAAGGAAATTGTTAAAAGTTAAAACTATCTTTGAATGGTACTGAGAAATTGTATGTATTGTTCTACAGGATTTCGTGTATACAGTATCGCAAAGGACATCCACAGGATATCCCTATTTACATGAAATGTTTAAGACACCTCTTATATCGTAATTTTATCATAGGGGCCTCTCTGGAACTTAACTAGGCAACTGTAGTTACATATTTTTCTTCATTTTAAACCAATATGACAATAATCAGAATAAGTTATGCTACACAATGTAGGTATAGTGGCAAAAGAAGTCTTATTGTTAATATTATTTTTTATATAGTTTAACTTTTTACCGAAAAAGGAATGTTCTGGGAAGTATGAAGCCCTCCCCAGGGCCCCTGCGTATTCATTACCCCTACTTTCTTTAGTAATTGCATGAGCAGAGTAATTTACAACTGTCAATACAATTACAAATCCGCTCGCTGACTTACAGGCCCAGGCACATTTTGGTGTTTATTTTGTTTGTATATTTACTATCGCAAACCACTGGCAGCTTTGGTTGAAACCATTGGTTTCAGTAGCCTTAAATAAATTTTTTGTCTTACAAGTACCACTTTAAATAAGAGAATAAGATAAATTGATTTTTAATCGATTAGTATTATTTTGTTTTATCTTGATGCTTGGGTAATTTAAATTACTTTTAATGTTGCAGCTCTTTTTTAAAACTTGCTTCTCTATTTATATAAATACCCCCGCCGCAGCAAACCTGCCGTCTAAGCGAATTTCCATTTGGCTGAATTGATTTTCAATTGAGCTATTTAAATAACATTAGGTTTAACAAGTATCTAGGTTTGCTGCTACAAGGAAACTGATCAAGTTTGTGTTTTAAGTAAAATAATTATTGCTTAGTAGAAAATGAATATATTTGCCAAGTTTGAACAAAAGATATCCATAAACAAGCAAACTACAACATTTTACAATATTCTCCATAAGAATAACATGGGAATTTTAAATTTACAATTTTTTAGTTTTCTCCGTAACCAATAACCGTACAAAAACACTTTGATATACTGAATTGTTTGTTTTTTTAAGCTCTTTAAGAAGGTTTAGAGAAAAATTGGGAAATTTTGTGTTTTGAGGGTCAAAAGTGAGAAAAACCAATTTTTACCTCATAAAACCCCCCATAAAACCCTGTTCCCATGGTCCGATCATGCTGGATCGCGAACTCATTCAAGTTTATCCCGCCTTACACCTTCAAACCAAATTTCATCAAAATCGGATAAAAATTACTCAAGTTATCGTGTTCACGGACACATATATATATAAATCTATATATATATATATATATCTATATATATATATATACATATATAAAAATTTGAACGAATGGTGTTTTTGGCCTCTGGGGACATCAAAATGAAAAAGTAAATCGGTCCCGGGCCTAAGTCTTACCATGAGACCTACGGTAATAGCTACTTCCCTATAGGGAAATTCGCTAAAAACTGTAATAAATAAAATATGTAGTTTGTGGGAACCATCTATTGACGTAGTGGCCACAATTGTTGTGAATTCAACGTTAAGTTCCCCCCCTTTCTCCACCTACCCTTAACTTAAATGTATTAAATTGCAAAGTACCCCTTGTGACATATCAAATGAAAGGGTATGAAAAAGGCATGAATGAAGAAAAAGAAACAAGCATGCCAGCTATAGTTCGGCCACTTAGAAAGCGACCTCCTCCAGCATTGGTTTAGCATTAGCGCGCAGCGCAGGTCGTTTTCTAAGCGGCCGAACTATAGTCACACCTTTGAAACATGCTTGTTCAATAAAAAACACGTCAAAATCCGATAAAATTTAGAAGTATGGTGTTTTATTTAAAATCTTTGCTAGCTCTTACAGTTTTCGAGCTAAAGGAGTGAAAGGTGGCGGTGGCTATAGCCGTTATAGAAAACATATTTTTTTAAGCAGTAGAAATTCTAAAATTTTGAGCTGTCATAACTTTTGATAGAATTGACGTAGAGACCTCTAGGCGCCGCGCCATTCTTTTCCTTTTTTCATTCCCTTTAATTTGATATGTCACAAGGGGTACCGTTCTTTGTAATTTAAAAATTTTAAGTTAAGGGTAAGAGGAGATAGGGGGTGAATGGGAACTCAACGTAAAATTCACAACAATTAATTGTGGCCTTTACGTCAATAGATGGTTCCCGAAAACTGCATATTTGATCTATAACCGTATAGTTTTTATATAAATAGAGAAGCAAGTTTTAAAAATAAACACACTGTATATATGCATGTTTTTAAAACACCCTCCCGTATATTTCGGTATCAAACGTGTGTGTTTTATATTTTCAATGCCATCAACCACAGAAATAATTAACAGACACTCTGTAATAATAAAGAAACAGCAGCAGCTATACTTGAGACTACATGACAGCTATTCATGCCTGCTCATGCTGTACAAGCAATGAAGAAAGTCCATCATGCATTGCGATTCTTTTTTTTGTTCAGGTGTTCTGTTTCTTTCGTGTTTCGTATCGTTCGTGTCGTGTGTGTGTGTGTTGCCAAAAAAATACCAAACTTTCTTAGTTTCTTTGTTTCTTAGTTTGTTTTTGTTGTTGTTGTTCTCGGTACTCGGCGTTCGTTTCATAGATCATTTTAGATTCATTTTCCATTTCTGTTCTGTTATCTATCTATGGAAGGAATAAGTAAAATAGAAAAGATGTAAGTAAAATAATTCACTATTTTGCATTTGTATTAGTTTTACCAATTTAGGCCTATCATTGAAGGCTACCGGTATTATGATTATGATTTTTATAGTGATACTATTTACATTATTTAATGGAGCACAATCGACAAAAACCTTTGATAATACCTGTTAGTTAACCTACGCTTGGGCCTAGCTCGATTTTTGATAGCTGACATTAAACTGTCAAATAAGTTACCATAGGCTTTAAAAAGAGGTTATGTGTAGGCTGAGTTAGGCCTGCTTAAACATAGGTGAGGGCACTGTCTTGGTTGTTAAATATTAACGGCTGCACTTTATTTTACGTCCTACATTACTCACATTAGGTAGGCCTACTGCAGTTTGGTTAAGGTTAGGCTTAGTTTCAAAGAACAGTTTCATTTTATAATCAGCTGGCACCGGTAGTGAATGTATGTAGGGTAGATGCAAGGTTATTAAAAGAGAATTTATATTTTTCTTTTAATAACCTTGGGGTAGATGTAAGCTAACTTTGCAATGTAAATCTTCACTTCCAACTCTTACCTTACCTTAAACCTAAGTTAATGCTGTTTGTGATGGGTACACTTCCATATCTGTTGGCACAAACAACCGAATGAGTAATATTGATTATTCGATTGTTTAATTCGATATATCGTTTGGTTAGTTAGGTTAGGTTAACCTTACCTAACTAACCAAACGATATATCGAATAATCGATATATTGATCGATATTTTCATTCGGTTGTTTGTGCCAACAGATAGGCCTATGGAAGTGTACCCTTTGTGATCTCTAACGTAAGATTTTGTGATCTCATTCTGCTTTACTTAACTGACAATTCCAAATGCATGTACTTTGTCAAAAGGAAAATAAATATTCTTAGTCTTATTCTTGTGTCATTCAAACCGAAGTAGGTTTATTCGGTTGTTAGGCCTCTGCAACAATTTGTCTTCATTCTTCTACGTCCTTGTCTCCTGAGGTCTTTTGCTACAACTTGGTCTTTTAATCTTCGTTTAGGCCTTCCATGTGGTCTGGTGCCAAAATAGCCCCCCCTCAAATATATAGCCTGCTACCGTACCAATACTTTGGGTATTTCTGAACTTTGTAGACTTTTCTTCAAAACATTTTAAAATTAATCCTACGATCTTAATAAACAAGAAAACACCTTTCAAGCATTTTTTTAAGGCGCGGAAACCACTGCAAATTACAAAATTATACGGAACTATTTTCTCAAGTCGCGGAGCACATCGCTTGCCGAGGATCGAGGAGCGGAGTGATACAGACCAGTGACTACTTACTCTTGGGCACATATTTGTGTTGCCAGCTGATTAGAAAAGATTTATAATAAGCGATATATTGAACCGCATTGAAATCAATATTTAATCCGATAATACCTCACAGGTTAGGCCTATATATGTTTAATTACATCGACGGTACAGTAAGTTATTATACTTATTATTATTAATACAACGCAGATATTGAACACTGATCTTATTTTAGGCATGTGGGGAAGGTAGGTCGGGGTTTATGAGAATTCGTGGCTCCATTAGGCTAAGTGTTTTGAAGTAAGGTTAGATTAGGAAGGTAAAGTGTAGGTTATAGGTAAATCGGGTTGTTTATTTATGTTACACCATATTGTTTTTCATCTTTTAGAATAGTTGGTTAAACGGGGAAATGATTTCAAAAATGCTTGCCTAGGCCTACCAGCCGCTTTCCTGTTTATGAGGCTCGCTGATATTATGGTTTTAATACCTTCAGTCTCCAATTCAAAATAAAGTTGGTTACTGCGACTTAGGTTTCTGCACAAAGTTGTGTTATCATCAATCGTTCCAGTTGGAAAAGTTAATTCCAATGGACACTATTAGTTAAAACTACATACAGTTCATACACGACACAAACAGGACGTATCAATTTCTTAGGCTCTTAGGCTACATTAACCGATCGGTATTTACAAGGACGAGAACATTTGGTAGGTTTACCGGCCACGTCAGGTGACATCCAAACCACAACTAGCTGGAACGTTATTTGTTTCTAACCAGTTCAGGGGCAATTTTACACCTCGATGTCAAAAGCTTATAATATCTTTAGTTTCCTGAAGGTTAGGTCCCTCTAGGAAGGGTTTTAACTTACACTATAACATCCAATGTACCGGTATCTTCTTCAATAGGCCTACTATATAGGCCTAATAGGTTCTTCTAGGCTATAAACATTAAGTACCTAGATCACTAAAATAAGTGTTCCATGCAGGGGTTTCTTGTTTATCACATCTTATATTACAGTTGGGTTTCTTAATACCGTACCTGGCTGTATTGTATCCTTTCTGAAAGAATTTTTTAGTCTATAGGTTAATTTCATTTGTGTTTTGCTCTGACGGATTGTTAGAAGAACTGTTATTATTTAATAAACATGTTTAGTAAGGTATTAACTATAATGATTTGTTTACTATTAAAATTCTTCTTTAAGATAACTCTTATACATTTTAAAAATGAATTCTTTAGTAAATATTATATGATGGTTGTTGCAGGTATAATCTGTGCCTGCTGGGTTGCTGGCTCGTCCGTCGGGTTCCTGCCTCTGATGGGATGGAACAATGTCCAAGGTGACGTCGCTTCTTGTTTGTTTGAGAGTGTAATGGCACCGAAGTATCTGGTGTTCCTCTACTTTGCGACCATCATCGGGCCAGCGACCATCATGGCGGCCTTCTACGCTCACATTTACACTGTTGTGCTCAAACAGGTATTATACCAATGGGTAAATTAGGTATAGAAATAGATTCAGAGACTCTTTTATTTTTGGCCAGATTTTAACCTGTGCATTAACATTAAAAATGCCTCGCTCTAACCACATCACCAACCGCATCTCTTAACTAATATCCATATCTTATAGCTGGGTAGTTGAAAGGTGTTGCTTGAAAATCTGAAGGTCGCCAGTTCAATCTGAGTAAAGGTGGTTCAAAACTGGGCCCGGCTGTTCTTAATAAATGATACTGACTAATGAAATATCTAACCTTAGTCAGTAAAAAGCTGAACAGATCATACCACTTTATTCTACACTCATCTTGCATTCATATTGAAGATGAAATAAGCTTCCAGGTCGGCTTTGCTGTCTCAAAAAACTGATAATTGCCGAATTTGTCGTAGTTGAAGCAGATGGTGACGGTGAACGGAAGGTCGGGCGGAACTCACGGCTCTATGTTACGAGTGCTCGGCGCAGCTCGTAAGAGGGAAGTCAAAGCAACTCAGAATCTCTCCATCATTGTATTATTCTTCATGGTCTGCTGGATTCCTCTGTACACCATCAATTTCTTCCAGTCGTTCTTCCCACCGTGGAAGGTGAGCAACTAAATGCATTGATGTGTTGATTCATTTTTCATTGTAATTAAATAAATAAACTGGGAATATCCCAAGTAGATAGTGGCTAAGGAGTCAAAATCAAACAAAGTTAGGCCTAATATTAAATCTAGAGCTTGCAGAAAGATAGTAATGAAGAGAGAAGCTATAAATCACTTATGATTTTAGAGCCTACTGAAGTAAGAGTAATTAAACAATTATATATTATATTATACTAGCTGACCCGGCGAACTTCGTATCGCCTAAGTTATAGGTTTCCCCTAAGACAGACCGATGGAAAGAAAGTACCGTTACGTTTAATTTTCAAGATGATCTCGTTCGCATCGCTCAATCACGTCCTGGTTGAAGTTCGTTCGCTACGCTCACTCACCTTTGGGTTGGAGCTCGTTCGCTACGCTCACTCACCTTTAGGTTGGAGCTCGTTCGCTGCGCTCACTTGCCTTCAGGTTAGCTCGTTCGCTACGCTAACTCGCCTCCAGGTTGAAGTTTGTTCGCTACGCTCACTCACCTTTTGGTTGCAAATTAGCTGTTGTCATAAATGTAAAAGAAATAATAGTGCTGCACCCTGTTGGTAATCCTTGTAACTTTAATGCTATTGAACATCATAGAACAGAACCAACTTGTTTAATTGAAACAGCTGTTAAGATTCATTAATTCCATTTCTCATAAGGTTAACATGGGAAACTCCAGAGCCACTGGGGCGGAGCCCTTTTAAGAATTTCGAAACGGGAAATAGTTTACGTCCGATTCGCATACCTACAGAATTTACACACCAAATTTCATAACGATCGGTGAAGTCGTTCCGGAGGAGTTTGTAGACAAACACTGTGACACGAGAATTTTATATATTAGATTATGTACGGTATAATAATACCTTCTTGTGTTTCAGGCTCCGCAAACCTTGACAATGTGCTGCATTATACTGTCCCATCTCAACTCTGCAGGTAATCCCCTGCTGTACGCCTACCACCTGAGGGACTTCCGCAATGCCCTTAGGTTCGTACAAACACTTTTACTGAGTGCCAACATTTGTTAGGCTACTTAACTTATTAGGTATCTTCATTATATAGGGATTTTCTAAAATCCTGAATGCCTAAAAGTTTCTAGGATGATTGATAAACTCCTGTTCAAAGTTAATATTTAACTATTTTGTTATCTCTGCTAGATCTCTGCTGTTTGGTCCTCCGGTGGAGAAGGCGGTCGGAAGATTCAACACGGCTTACCCAGAAACCCCTACAGAACTGAGGGACAGATTGAGGAGAGCTAACAGTGTGACTTCGCTGTACAGGGCTCAACCTACCAACACTGTGGTCAGTTTAGCTACAGTCTCGGTTACATGAAAAATTAACTTAGTCTAAGACCACACTTGGCGACTCGGTTGCGACAAATGATAAAATCGGGTAGTGTTAAATTAAATGAAGATGGCCACAACGAGGGACTTGCAACCAGCAACCACCTGCAACAGGAAAATAAACGTGTCCTGAAATGTTTACAGGTCTGTTCGATGTATCCCTAAAAGATTAAAGGGTTAAAAAAAGAAACCCTTCTTCTGGTTCAAAAGAAACCCAAAACCTCAAAGCTTGTCAAATGTGGCTTGGCTCATTAAAAAATACAACAAACAATTTGAAATTTGAAATTAAATCATCACTAAGCAATGTTGTAAGGATGAGACAATGGCAATGTTTCAAGGGATGGGCTCCAACCTTATGTTTTGTTTTCCTTTTAAGATACACAATAAATAGCAACAGGTCTTACTCACTCAGCGATCCCAACATCTAGAAGATGCTCAAATGTGGCATCTCCTGCGACCTGGTCACAGATGAACTAAGTTGCGGCGACTAGGTCGCTAAGTGTAGCTGTAGCCATTAATACAACCTTAGCCTAAGCTGTTTTTGGAGAAACATGTTCATTATAGTATTGATATGCATTTTGAAATTTTAGACTCTATAGATTATTGAGTAATTTTAAATTTCCTGTATTTATTATTTTTCCACTTATCTTAGAAACCAGATCCATACTATATTAAAACAAGGTTTTGGTAGGGAAAAAGTGAGTAGAATAGGCAACATGTGGCTTAATGTCTGATTTGAGGTGCTAGAAAAAATTACAAAATCATTATTATTAAAATTGATTAGGCCTAATGAGGTCAGTAGTTTAATGAATTATTTTAATCCATATTTTCTAGCCCCTGAGCTGGTTCTATAACTAAATTGATATTTTATCTTCGTCAGCCAGCTCCTGATTAGTTATCAACTTGTTACGGCCGTTTCAGCATCACTGTGCCATCGTCGGAGTGCGGGAATGTACTATCCTCAACAGGCCTGTTATTTAAAACCCCGTTTTGACAAATATGTGTGTGTTTCGTGTAAATATGTTTTTGTGTTTTAACTACGCCTTTTGGCTGAACAGTCCGACGATGGCACAGTGATGCTGAAACGGCCGTAACAAGTTGATAACAAATCAGGAGCTGGCTGACGAAGGTAAAATTTCAATTTAGTTTAATGAAAGTTGGCCTAATGTTATGACCAAGCTATGAGCTATTTACCCACTAAAATATTTTTTGGTGATTCATGTATTCCTCCCTATAGGTGAACAATGTATTAAGAGGTCACCGTCGCAGCATGACTGTGCCATTGTACAACTCTGAGGGAGGGATCTACAAGATAGCTGGAGACACTTATAGGCTGCCTCAGGCATTGCTGGAGTTCAACCTGTCTTGTATAATGGAAAACTCCCACTCAGGTCAGTTTAATGACAGTAGAGTCTTGATTATCCAACCTAAACCGGCTGCGGAAAGATCAAAATATAAAGGTTTGATAACGCGGAACAATGAAAAAACCATTGACAACACGTCAAAAACCATTATATTAAATGTAGTTTCTCCGTTCTCAAACATGTTCAAGTTTACATTTTGTAATTTTTTTATTCAAAACAATCATCATAGATTAAAAGTAAAAAGTAAAAGAATCTACTAAGTAAAAACACCTAATCTATACTATTATAAAAAAGAGGTGGTGTCTGTGTGTGTGTATGGGAAAAGTAAACGCGAAAACTACTGGTCGGATCGGGCTGAAATTTGGCATGATGATAGCTCACATTCCCGATTAACATATAGGCATATTTTTATCCCAAAAATCCTTTCGGGCTCCTCCCCAGTGGCTCTGGAGTTTCCCATGTTAACCTTATGAGAAATGAAATTATTGAATCTTAACAGCTGTTTCAATTAAACAAGTTGGTTCTGTTCTGTGATGTTCAATAGCATTAAAGTTACAAGGATTACCAACAGGGTGCAGCACTAGCACTATTATTTCTTTTACATTTATGACAACAGCAAAAGGTGAGTGAGCGTAGCGAACGAACTTCAACCTGGAGGCGAGTGAGCGTAGCGAACGAGCTAACCTGAAGGCAAGTGAGTGCAGCGAACGAGCTCCAACCTAAAAATGAGTGAGCGTAGCGAACGAACTTCAAAAAGAACCGAAATTTCTTAAACCATGTCCTCACTCATAACTGCTATAAGCATTTGATACTTATATGCCAACCCCGTACGAAGGACGGGTACTCTGCTAGTGTAAGATAAAGCGATGCTTGTCCAAGATAAGGATTTGAGTAGCAGAGAGGTATGCAGGTATCACAAGTTAAACTGTGTAGTATGCAGGGTGCTAAAGCAATCAGATAGTAAAGATTAGTGGAGATGCCAATAGCCTGGTGCTTATCTTCTAATTACAGTGATGGCAAAGGGGTTGTTTTCATGTAAGGGTTTAAGTCATTAAGGTATTGTGTCAATTAGCATGGCGTGTGGAAGGGATGAAGGAAAGACTCCCAACGAAAGTCTCGCAACTAGAAGTTAGTAGTATAACGTTATTCCAACGCAAATCAACTAAAGCGACAGTGTAGGGGGAAAATTATTTGTGCTCATAAGCAACCTGATAATCACTGTAATTGTCATGAAGATTATCCATAAACATAGAAAAAGTCTGCAATTTTACAGTACTCGATCATCTGCACAGAAGGGTCATATAACACTGTTGGGTGGATAACCGAAGGCCGTATAGCTGAAGACAGGAGACTATGGTATTAGATTCAAAGTGTGATTGTGTTTATCCACCGTTGTATTTACTCACACAACTTTTCACACCGAGGATCTAAACCCATTTTCTCTCCCCAGATGAAGCCAGCAAGAGCCTGAGTGTGCTGGGACTCCACGTAACCCAGACAACCCCTGTAGGGTCCGACCCCCTGGACACCTCCATGGGCTACGTGGATGACAAGACTCACGACATCTACAGCCTAGGACTGGTGGAGACCCCGGACACGGACGGGGGAGTTTACAACGTAGCTGACGTAGAGGATCTGGGAGTCGGGAGTGAGGGGACCCAGAAATACTGAATGCTACCTGATTTTCTTGGCAAATAGTATGGAAGTGAACACTTTTTTGCCACCTTAAGTATTAACTTGAGTTTGAGATAAAAGACATGAATTCAATCCAAAGTGTTTTGCGTCTGTGCATTTAATTGTGAAAATTATTAGCTTAATTACTGTAGTAGACAGTGATGCATCAAGGACAGCTGGGTCCAGTTTCAAATCAATAAAATACTCAAATACACCTCTTGCAGGTTTACACGTTTGTAATAAATTTCATTAAATCGGATCATTTTTGCTCGAGTTATCGCGCTAAAGAGACACATATATATTTAAATTTGAAAGAATAGTGTTTATGCGCTCTGGGGACCTCAAAACGAAAAAGTAAATCGGTCCCGGGCCCAGGGATTAACACAAGACCTTCAAAAATAGATTATTCCAAAAATAGTGAAGGGAATGAAAGAGTGCAAAGTACGACATTATAGCTCAAGAACTGTAGATGGCCACATGAAGCTTAAGCTGAGTGCAGCCATAGATTTCGAGAGCTGCAATGTTAGTTTGTGCTCGTAATACACACAAGATTTTACCGTTTACAGGTGTGGCAATGTGATCATTTCCATGCAGTGTTAGGAAAAGGTTCTTTTTGTTCATTTATGGTCACAGTTCATGATATAATTTAGAATAGTTTTAATATACAACTCACACAATGATATACTTTGAAATAGCAAAGCCAATACTTTTCAACACATAGTATCGTAACACATATGGAATACTAATGCAACAAATGGATGGATGATGATATGGTCCTTAGTATATAGACATGAATATGGAGTTCTGATGTTAAATTATTCATACCAACCTATTATGCACTAAAAACACTTTGGATAGAGTTGCATGCTTTTTATATTTGTAAATTTCAGATTTAAAAGAACGAAAGGAACAGCATAAGTTAGAATAAACAGTATTGAGAAACGTACTGAACTATTATTGCATTGGGAGGACTGTGAAAGATGAAATATTTCTGTGATGAAATAAAAATGTGATGGTAATGGTATTTTACCTATTTTAGTCATTTAGATACCCAATTAAAATAGTTAATGTAGGCCTACTGCTGATTCAAATCACTGCTGTGTTATATAAGAATGAGAAGTGTAAAGTTTGTTAAACCCCAACATGTTTTCCTATTTTTCAATTTTCAGTAAATAAATAAAACCTAAAAACTCTATTTAAAATTAAAACATTATCCTACTTTGAGGCATGATCAGTGGTGTAGTGAGGCAAGACTCTACACACATATTTCGTGAACATATTCCGAGGTCACAGCGTGTTTGTTTTCTGTGGTCATGGTAAAATTGTAAACGTCTCGTGCGGTCACGGCAAAATTGTAAATATCTTCTACAATCGCAGTAAAATCATGAACACTTCTGATGTTTGTCAGTGTCGATACGATTGTGAGCTTCCTACACTGAAACATTTACAACTACAGTAGACTCCCTCTTATCCGGACTCCTCGGGACCGAGGCTAGTCTGGATAACGGGTTTTCCGGTTAAACCGACGTCCCCAAAAACTCGTTAAAACGGACTGTTTACTGTGATATTCGACTTAAATTTAGGAGAGCGTTGTGAAGACACGTGATCACTGGTCTCAAATCTTTCCCACGAGAACAGACGTTTCAGTACTGCCCCATTTCTTGCCAATCTAGTCCGGTTAAACCAATGTGCTGATAAAAATTGTCCGGTTAAAGAGATGTCATTGCCGCCGAGTGTAGTCCGGTTAAACCGATGTCCGGTTAAAAGGTGTCCGGATAAGAGGGACTCTACTGTACATCACTGGGCATGATTTTTTAGACGCAAGATAAATGAATCTACAGATCTGAAAACATTATAAATATTAAAAGTCATGTTCCATTATGTACTATTAAAAGTTCACTGTGGATGATTCTGATTTTTATTTGAATGAACATTATTGAAAATGGCCCCAATAGTTCTCTGAACTTATGGTTCTATTAGTATCATGGGTTTTAAACTGGGTAGTAACTATTTTAGCTAGTTAATTATTTTTACACCCAAAATATCTTTAAAAATCATAGTACAGTTCCTTGGTACTCATGTTCTACTGCTCGAATGTCTATTAAGAAAATTCATTAAGTCATTCAAAGTAAAGATAATTAGGTACTTTTATTTAGTTTCTACAGCTCCAGCGTCTTATCTATAAAATTCAATGGGTTGTTGAAATAAAATATTATTTTTTTTATAAGATTGAAAGCTCATACATTCCATCAAGCCTTTGTCCTAAATATCACACAAATACATGAAGAACGTTCCTTAGTATCGTTATATTATTATTGTCCAAAAAAACGAACAAAAATACGAACATTTTTATTTTTATAAATGTTTAATGTAGGATTTTAGATTTTTTAAATCTAATTTTTGTGAAAAGTAACTTTTAATCCAGGCTGTGATTTTTATTGTTGACATTTAGTTTGTATAGGTAGATGTATTATTTTACTATACTATCTTACACTAATATACTTTTTTACTATGATAAAACAATAGTGTGTTTTTTCACTAACTGTTTTCCTATGCAGTATTTAAGATATGTTTTTTGTTAATGTATCTCAATACTATTAATTTAATGTGTTGTTGTTTCCTGTTTATTACAAAACAGTATTATTTTATTAATATTCATTTTCAAACTCATCATCAAGCTCAGAACTCAAGGACAAAATGTGTGACTACAACTATCCTGGCTCAACTAAGAGCTTTTAAATGAATTCCTTACTTTGCTATTAGTTAATTAAATTTGTTTAATAATTTCAGATGAAATATGAGCTGCATCTTAGGATTCATGCCAAAATGGTGCATTTTAAATGTTGAGAAGTTGAAAGTTTGAATGTCAAACTGTTACATTAGTGATATAAAACTGTTCCAGAAAACAACCCATTAGTTTATGGCACTATATTGTAATAAATAATAACAAACTATTTTATATGGTTTTATAGAATATATAAATTACACTCATGAATGAACCGATATTTTGTTCCCATATCAATGTGTTCATTTGGTGTATATAATAGCTGTTTATAATAGTAAATGTTATTTATTTTTTTATGTATTTGTAAAAATACGATACTGCTTCATGATAAATGTACATTCCAAATGTAAATACAGTGATTGTAAATATAATCTCTGTATATATCAACTCTTGCTTTCTTACCAGTATGTCCTGTTCTTCTCATGATATTGTAATGTAATTTAATCTCCCTTTTAACCCTTTCAGGCAGAGTTACGAGTGTAGCTCGTCTTAGCATTTTGGGACGAGGTAACCTTACTGCTAAATCACTGGGACTTTTAAGCAGTTCGTCGAATCTGACCTTTGAACACTAGTGTCACATTCAGGCTTTAGTCCACTCGTCCCAGCCGGCCAACAGTGGCATGGTGGCTTAGTTTAATGTCGTTAACATTATGGCGAGTGCAGCTCTGTGGTCTTACTACATCCGCTGGTTTTATTCACGTATGTGTGCAATCCATATTAAGCTTACTAAAGTGTGGCTTAGCTGGTGGGAGGGCTCATCTTAAATAAGTATTGTCTGATTTGTGTGTAAGCTTCTTTTTACAATGTAGTATATAGGTGGTTTTCTTTTTTTACCTTTTGATTAAATATGGACAATGTACTGTGTTGAAATACATGCTGTAAAATGATAAAAATGACGTAAAAATGATATTGATATAAACAAATTTAAAAAATTAATGCGTCAAGATTTAGACACTTGGTACCAACATAGACAACTTTATTAGTAATTTTTTCAAGGAATACATTAATGTTAAAATACAGTACATGTAATAAAATGCTCGTTTGCTTCACAATCTTATATATTTAAAAAATTAGCTTTTCTTGTTTATAATTGGTTTTCCTTTATAATATTAGGAACAAAATGACTACACACAGTGGTTTATAAAGTCCAAAGTGGAAGTGATGTTTATTTACAACAAACTAATAAACATAGCAATCACATGGCATATAATTAACACATGACAGCTGCTTCTAACTTAGTACCAAGAAGGCAATGAGGAACAAGATTATAAATAAATTCCAACACCCCTCCTTAATCTTGATCCTTCATTGGGGTAAGACCAAGGTCGGTCATAAAACCATCATGCTTGATTTTGCCAAGTGATTTTGTCAAAATGTCCGCTACCATCTTGGAAGTTGGAACATAATTCAGCACAACTAGTTTTCTCTTGATTATGTCTCTGACAAATAACTGTTTACGAATTATATGTTTGGTCTTGTCATTCACGGTTCTCTTCTGCAAAATCTTCATTGCTGGCATGTTGTCACAGTGCAAATTTACATGCTCAAGAAATATTCCCAGCTCTTCCAACAAGTGCTTCAGAAACATTGCTTCCTGAACCATTGCTACAAACATACATACAGTCTGTTTCATAAGTCATACATCTCTGCTTCATACTTCCCCAAGACACAGGTCCTTCACTCAATTTAAAAACATATCCCGTACAACTTTTCCCATCAAAGTTGTTTCCATGACTGGCATCAACAAAACCATGTAGAGATTCTTCATCAGCTTGCTCCTCCACAGCATGCTTCCACAAATTCTTATTCGGATCTTCTATTGCCTCTTGATAACTACTTGGCTCTAGATCCTCACAGGTAACCATGTAGGTAACAAAATCAGGAAACATTTTAGGTTTTCTTACTCTTAGAGGGTGCCTACTCCCAACATTAATTTCAACACCTTCCTCATCATTTCCCGAATTCCCTTCAGCGGATCCTCCAGTTCCAACATCGTCATCATCTTGCTCAATGTTGATATTATCAAGAATGAAGCTCTCCTCTTCTGCCTCAGGATTCCTGCAGGGTTCATCGAGTTTGGCGGTCTGGATGCTTACTATGGTCTCGACTGGTTGTATAGTTTCATCACCATTATTTTCTTCACGCCCATTATAAAATAAGTTTTCAAAAAACTTGACATCTCTAGAATAAATCAATCTACGGGGAGACTTAGGATCGACCAATTTGTAACCTTTGACATCCTCACTGTAACCTACAAAAATGTGAGGAACACTCTTATAGTCCAATTTGGTCCTTCTCTCCTTATGCACATGCACATAGCCTATGCAACCAAAAACTCTAAGGTGACTGAGGTCCACTTTCGATCCAGTCCATTTCTCCTGTGGAGTGACTCCGAAAACAGCTTTTGTAGGACTTCGGTTCTTAAGATAAATAGCTGCCTCCACAGCATACTGC